TAACGTCAGAAAGCTGCTTGCTGGACTGCCCCGTTTGCTTGAATGAGTTTTTTGTTTTTCAATATTTTTGAATAAGGGATGTTGTAAAGAAAGTGTGCACTGACTTTTGGAAACTTTTGGAAAGCTTAAAGACTAAAGAGCTTAGGTAAGTAAAGCAAATCAAAAGGAAAAGAAAGGGAATGAATACAAGTTTATTTAAAGCAAAATATGTTTTAAGCTTGAAATCTCTAGACATTATTCTAGGGCCCCCCCTAAATAATGTCAGAAAGCTGCTTGCTAAAGAAAGTGTGCACTGGCTTTTGGAAACGTTTGGAAAGCTTAAAGACTAAAGAGCTTAGGTAAGTAAAGCAAATCAAAAGGACAAGAAAGGGAATGAATACAAGTTTTTTTTAAAGCAAAATATGGTTTAAGCTTGAAATCCCAGCAAACTCAAAAGGGAAAAAGTAAACTATAACAATAAAACATATTCCACTACAACTATCCCTGCCAAAAAAGAAGACATTATTCTGGGGGCCTTTATTAATCAGTGCAGGAAAAAACAAGACATTATTCTAGGGGGGTTTATTAATCACAGGTCTACATTAGCTTCTTGCTCCTACTAGTAATGCCCTTTGCTCCGTTCGTAGCGCCCGGAGCTACTAGTAGCTTCTTGTTACTAGTAGTTTGGCCAGGAGCGCCCCTAGTAGCGTCCTTGCATCTGCAGTTTTTGAAAGTCCGGTGATTTCTCCATGTTTGCTTGCTATGGTACACGGTACACGCTTTAAGCTGCCCGCCCCGCCCGCTGAAGGCTTTTGCTGATTCGAAAGCTATTGAAGTACAGTACATTCAAAAAAACATCAAAAAAGAACCTGCAAGAATGCAACGGTCCGACCCTTCAGCACGAACGCGAACGCGGGGGCCTCTTGACGCCGATTGCTCTGCAGTTTGAGATCGACCTTCAGCTGCCGCGCCAGACTTGCAGCAAATGGACGCCAAACATTCTTGCAAAGGCCTTGGGAAAGGATAGAATGGAATGGCATCGATTTCTGTTGCAAATGCCAATTCATAATTCTCTGTTCCCCGACGTATCCAGAAGTGTGACCAAAGCACCCATTCTCTCAATCTGCCCCACATCAGCTTAAATTGTCTAGGCACTGGACCATTTGCATGCAAAAGTAAGCAAAGCGTGCGACCCATGGCTGGTTTGGAAAGCAAGCAACTGCGCGGAATCTGGAAAGATGTGAAAGAGGTTGATTCACGTTGACTGTTGCAAGTGCTTTCAGTGGCATCGTATCGTGGTGAATGTCACTTGCGGCCTTCCTTACTTGCAAGGTTTGACTGCAATTGCCCTTGCTGTGCCAAAAGTCGGCTGGGAACACATACTCAAATCCCATAGTGCCAAAACATGTTTGCCAAAAACAATCAAAAACAAGACACTAATCGAGGCCGGGATAACAGTGCGGCCGACACGGTGGATATAGCGAGTGACCTTGGTAACTGAGGTGCACATGCAATCTTCACATCTGAGGTGGTTATGCACAGAAAACTCTATAGACCCTGTGAGATGCACTAGGTGTGGGAACTACCTCCGTCGTGGTTTTTTTCGGGGAATCAGCAAGCACCGAAAGGCCAAATCCACCCATCTGCGGTACACTGTCACCGTACACCTTTCAGCCCTCTAACATTTTTACTTTGATCAAACGCAAGCAAAAAAGTTGACTTTTATGTTGATCTGTTGTCCTTGTCGTTTGTGAATAATCATGCTGTATCTCCGCTTTCTCCACCCTCGGTCCACCCTCAGCCCGCAGCATCCACTGGCAGTTGGAAGTTGATCACCGTCTTGATGCTGGGCCTCATACTCCCAGGGCCCATGGCACAAGGATCCCTTGAAAACTATTTGAAACTGCATGGCCGGGTATGCGCAGCCGCATACATAAATATATATATATATGTATGTGTGTATAGATATAGATACAGATATGTGGGACCCCCCAGAAAAAAATACCTTTTCGATGTGTGCACTTTTCAATTCAAGGACTTTTTTGTCTGAGGGGTACCACACATAGACAGATATATATATATATATAGTGCTCGCTGATTAGGGGGCACCTGCGGGCACAAATTACATAAACAGTGATCCGAGAACCATCCGCCTGCAACATGCATGACCTGGACACGATGCCCAATCCTAAGACCAGAAAACAACAAAACGGACACGAACCCACGAACCCGAATGCAAACATGTACTCCCAAACAAACGGCCAAACATTTTCCGACACTCTTACACTCTTGTAGGAAACACTCTTTTAGAACGCTCTTAAACGCTCTCACGCGACGCTTTCGCCACTCTGTGGGACACTCTTGCAGGACGCTCTTGTAGGATGCGCTGCTACAAGTTGCCACTTCTGCGGGATACTCTTGCGGGACACTCTTGTGGTGCACTCTTGCGGGACAGGTCAATTGTGGGACACTCTTGTCGGACACCCTTGTGGGGCACTCTTGTACGACACTCACTCGCGTGGGACACTCCTGTAGGAAAGTCTTGTGGGACACCGTCTTGTGGGACACTCTTGTCCGACACTCTTGTGGGGCACTCTTGTAGGGAACTCTTTTGGGACCCTCTTGCGGGGCACTCTTGCGAAACACTCTTGTAGGTGGGATATTCTTGTGGGACACTCTTGCGGGGCACTCTTGTAGGACACTCTTGTCGGACACTGTTGTTGTCTTGTAGGGTTCTGTGGGACACTCCTGTGGGTCAAAAGTCAACCGTCACGTCTGCAACCAGCGTTTCGTACGAGACTTCCTCCAAAATTCATCCGTCAAGTCTCCAAAACGAGCACTTCGCACGAGACTTCCTCTAAAAGTCATGTCGAAGTCTCCAGAACAAGCAATTTGTACGAGACTTCCTCCAAAAGTCAAGCGGGAAGCCCCATCAGAGCACACACGCAGTTCCACCCTCCACCGGCCCACGCGCCAATCCCAATGTTACATCGACATTCACCTCCACCACAACTCGCAACCACCTCCAACATGCACAAAGCACCGCGCCTGCCACGAAATGCGCATGACCTCTACCACACCTCGAAGCCTTACGATTCCCTGCCAAAAATTGTGCTTCCACACCTCAAAGACCACACAAAGTACTGCGCCTGCCACGAAAAGTGCCAATATCATTTTCGTAGCTTCAGCGAAATTTGCACCACGCCACACGTTGGAGTGATTTCGACACGTTCTGAGCACTCGCCCCTCATTTTAGCTGAGACGTGTCACGAAAGCACAGCTTCGAAGCAACACCCTGAAACGCAAATCCCACTGTCACAGCCACATCCAACACCCGAAGCAAACCACCCTCCAAACGCCAATCCCTATCCAACTGCGAAGAAAACTGCGAAACTCACAAAATGCTGCACCTGCGCAGTGAATCCATCCTCCATACTTCATCCTCTCACGTTTCCACACGTTTGACCGCTATTTCACCAGAATCTGACACGTCAACCTTCCATCCAAAACCCTCTCCAAAAGCTTCGCCCAATGTCAGCGCCATGGACCCCAGAGTTAAACGAGAACCCTTCGCTACATTCGGGAAAAAACAATTATATAAATTATAGGACCGGATAACCCCACACGTTAACAACTTCACCAAACACAGGAGCGGACACTTGGTGGTTGGTGGTTGGTTGGTGGTTGGTGGTTGGTGGACGGGCGGGGGGAAGGGGAAGAGCAGGAAGAGGAAGGCCGAACGGATACAGCACAGTGCATCCGACCCCTGCGAGAGCGCCAAGTCCTGCGCCTGCCACGCAAATCACGCCGCGGAGACCAGCGACGCAGGGCGTACATCCGACCCCCTGGAGAGCAGGCGCTGCGCCTGCCACCCAAATCACAGCGGCACAGCGCGACGCCAGGGCGTACATCCGCCCCCCGTGCAAAACACCAAGCCTGCGCTCCGCTTCACAGCGGCGCAGCGGCGGAGACCCAGCGACGCCAGGTCGACGCCAGGCCGTACTTCGTGGAGAGCACCAAGCGCTGCGCCTGCCACGCAAATCACACCGGCACAGGGCGACCCCAGCTCTGAGGCCACCCTTCAATGGGGGGGTCAGCTGACCACGGGTGGAGTGATCATCACGGATGCTAAGGGTCTCAACGACCATGTCAACAAAACGGGAAGCATCGCCAGCGAGAAGCAGACGGCGCTGGACATGCTGATGGTGAAACGCTTGGTGGAAGATCAAGTCATCCGCCTACGGTGGGTTCCGACCTGGAAGCAGATGGCAGACCCCCTCACGAAGGAGATGGCTCGGGATCTCCTGCTTGAGTTCAGGAAAACCAACTCCCTCTGTCTTGTGGAAACGGCAGAGGACCAGCCAGCTCGAAGAACAGAAGCGAGCGTCAGTTCGCAAAGCCCAGCGTGAAAGGCGCAAAATGCACATGCAGGCAACACGGAAACACAAGTTCCCTCCGACGTGATTGTTTGAGTGCATTCGCTTTCCGTGTATGCCGCATCTTTTTGTACTGCATTTTCGATCTCAAGACATCGATGATCTCGCGAGCAAAACAGCTTGACGCTTTTGCTTTCTTTCGTGGTTGCACCAAATTTGCACATTGCTGCGCCTGGTTCCTTTTTGGGTTGCACCGGTTTTGGGATTGTGTTTGCAAGGGAGTGGCGCCCCTTTTCATCAACCACACAATCTGGGTTCTTGGTTTCTTGGTTAGAGCACTGTACGCGTACAAGTGCCTTTGTAGTACTTTCCTGAAACCAACGTGCAGTCAGCATGCAATAAGACATGACACAAATATATATATATATAGATAGAGAGAGAGATATAGTAGGCCTCAAACAAACTAAGTTACAAACACATATCAAATCATATAAAAGGTAGATCTTTGGGGGGGAGTACCATATATATATATATATACATATTCAATCATTATAGATCAGATCCCCAGTCCCCACAGGTCAACTTGGCTCCCGGCAGGTCCAAGCCTCGCGATGCGATATCTGTCGCCAGGAGAAAGTCTGCCTCTCAGGTCAGAGAGAACGCCTCTCGTGCCGAAAAGTGACAAAGACTGTCTTCTTGGAACTAGTAGCACAACGGAAGAAATCGTCAAGATCAGAAAGAATGTGCCGGAAGTTCAATGAAATTTATCCTATCTGGAGACGAAATTGGATGTTCGGAACCAAACTGCTAAACCGAAGGCCTGGCCATTTTGGAATCGCTCCAGCGAAGTTGCTCGCTCGCCCTGGGCACTGAGGAGTTTGCTTTCAACATGTCGGACATCTCCACCGACGCCGCTTCTTTGGTGCTCAATGCTCTGCTCCTGTGAGAGGTTCCCATGAATTTCGGCAAACTTGAGACCGGAAAGGCCAAAGATGATGGCCAAGCGATGGGTGACCTGCCAGACGAGGAACGAACTCCAAATACGAAGAAGGATGTGTTGTCAAGGTCGTGCCTCTTTTGTGGAGCAAAAGATGATGACCCTGGAGTTGTAATTTCGCGATGCAAGGCCTCAAGTTTCTGTAGGCTCAAAAATGTAATTTTGGTTGGCTCAAGGCTCAAGGAGACCTCAAAACTTTCAGGAAAACGGACCAGTAGGTGAGATACTGCGGAGAAAATGATGGAGGTCCCTTTACTTAGTCCCTTTGTTCACCACACAGAATACTAACAGCGCTGTCAATTGCTCGGTCTGATTCAGGCATGACTTCAGCAACTTTGAGGAACATTCCCAAAACCTGTCAATGTCCAGTCACCAGTGTACAGCTCGAGCCATCCACGATCGCAATACGTTGATTTAGAAGGCACTTGAGCAAAACAATTGAAGGCCTGATAGGGCTTGTGGCCTTGTCAAAGAACATATTGAAGTGACATTGTAGTATAAAGATGAAAACATCTGCACTCTGAGCATATATGACCTTTTTTTGTGAGCACAAATCGTCACGGTTGCAGTCAAAGCCACTTAGCAAAGCTGCCTCTCGAAGCTCTGGGTTCGGTGCTTTGACAAACTCCTGTCGGCTCAGTCGGACTCGGAAATAGTTGGTGTTGGTCACAGGCCAGCACAGCTTTTTGCCATAAATTGCCAACAGAGGACAAAACAAAAGAAAATAGAACGAAAAGAAGTAGCAAGAAACCCGGCAGGGTTTGCTTTACCTCAAACCAAGTAGGCTCAAGATGATGTCTGAAAAATTATATAAGGGGCCTGTTCCAGAGTCTGGGCTACCGCGTTCACCGGACTCGCATGGATTCTCTCCGGCTTAACCTACAAATGTACTCAGGATGGCATCTGGACGCTCCAAGTTGCGATCAAAACCCAAGACATCTTGGCACTCAAAACCTGGGTGCCTGACAAGAGCAAGAGCAGCCAAGTCTTCCACTGATGCATTCAAGGTTGCCGAGAAAAGCATGGTCCTGCAAATGTCAAGCAACATAATGTTGGAGGCCATCGCTAGTAGGTTGGAGGCCATCGCTACTAACGGTTGGAGGCCAACGCTAGTAGGTTGGAGGCCATCGCCAGTAAGTTGGAGGCCATCGCTAGTGGATTGGAGGCCATTGCTAGTACGTTGCAGGCCATCGCTAGTAGGTTCGAGGCCATCGCTAGTAGGTTGGAGACATCGCCAGTAATTGGGTTGGAGGCCATCACTGTAGTAGGTTGGAGGCCATTGCTACTATGTTGCTATTAGGTTGGAGGCCATTGCTATTAGGTTGGAGGACATTGCTATTAGGTTG